AAATCATGTAATCTTAGCAGTATACATAACCCTCTTTCCACCAAAATTCAATTCCACAGAACTGTATGTAAACTCCCATGAGAACAGAGATCATGATTTTCTTACTTTTAGATTTCCTACCCCCAAAAGTAGCATAATCCTTGACAGAGAATAAATGGTTAATAAAAATTTGTTAAATGGATGACATTTACAAATTCCCACTACATTTTCTCTCCTTTGCATTCCTTACAATTTGAGTGTCTAATGAAAATAATTTTTTTTATCATATACCTTTAAAGTCTCTTTGAGAGTTTGTTTCAAGTTGCTGTGACTGTGCCACTGTTTTCAACATCTCCTGAATTACTACCCGGTCACTATTTCCAGCATCACTATATAAACAGAAATAATGATTAAAAATACACACACACATCACTAGAAAACAAAAATAATGATTAAAAAAATACACACACACACAACTTGAAAGTATTATGCCCTTATTGTTAATGTTATTATAAGAAAAATGTTGGATATTAAGTAGTTACAATTTTAATCAAAATTCATAAAACCTAATTGCATTCACAAAACATTAAAACTGAGATATTTTAGGGTTATTAAAAATACTAACAATGTTCCATATTGAACACATTGTATGCGGGAAACGTATTTATACGTTTTACGTTGACTGGTAGTAGAGCGTGGGACACGTATTAATACGTTTTTTAGAGACTAGCGGTAGAATGCGGGTAACGTATAAATACGTAAACTAAAGTTATCATAATTTTACTGAACATTGCCATTTGCGCAAAAAATTAGCAAAAATGGCCTGCGCCACCTGTTATCGCGCAATAAAAACTACCCGCAAACAATGTGTTAATTACAATTTAATCTCTGAAAACACTAAGTTTACCATTACTTAAAAAGAGCAATAACTAATAATTAACAGTTCAATTACTTTAACACTTCTGTATACACTATAGTTACTACCTAGTTACAGCTAATTTTCTTGATTATCTAGAATTGCTCAAAATATAGAAATAACTATTTGAAACAAATTTAACTTCCATTCTTCTTCCCCATCATCAAAACAGCAAAGATCTGAGAGAGAACAACAATAGACACACCTGCTCCCAGCACTAGCATGGAGCTGACTCCCTTAGCAATGGGATGGGATAAGCAAATGGAATTTAAGATACAAAGTCAGAACTCTGTAAGATGTTGACCTATTATAGGCATTATCTATCATTTATACCCACATATTGCTTTAGCATTTAAATCATGTGCCTCACAAACCAACCTAAGTCACTGGGTTAATTTAGGCTGAATGTCAATTTCAAACATCTGAAAAACAATCAGCTTAATCTCTAATTGACTATTCTTGCTACAGAGGAACTCACAATGAGAAAGAGGGCAAAGCAATCAGTTTTATTTTCCCAGCCATCAAATCTTTCTCAATTCACTATTAGGTCAATATACCTACAGTGTTTTTTTTATGATAACTTTTTAGTCAAGAATCTAAACCATTTTCCTTTTGTCTTTGGAATTAAAACTTTTTCTACATTTATGATCAAATTCTTCCCACCAACATTATTTCTCTTAATTTTCTTTGATATACCTAAGGAAAATCCTATGTACTAAAAGGCTAATATGCAAATCGAATGAATGGCGGCACAACCAGTCACTATGACGTGCACTGACCACCAGAGGGCATATGCTCAATGCAGGAGCTGCCGCCTGGTGATCAGTACGCTCCCACAGGGGGAGTGCCCTTCAGCCAGAAGCCCTGAGCCTGGCTCACAGCTGGTGAGCGCAGCGGTGGTGATGGGAGCCTCTCCCACCTCCACAGCAGCGCTAATGATGTCCGACTGATGGCTTAGGCCCGCTCTCCCTGGGGAGCGGGCCAAAGCCGTCAGTCGGACATCCCCCAAGGGCTCCCAGACTGCAACAGGGCACAGGCCGGGATGAGGGATTCCTCCCACCCCCAAGGGAACAAATTTTGTGCACCGGGCCTCTAGTAATAATAATACCTATCAGGATTGTTTTGAGGGCTAAATAATCCATGTAAAATTCTTCTCAGGGTGCCTTATACTGAATACATATTAGCTTATAATCTTATTCCTCCTGCTCCGTTCAGTCTTGCTCATTAGTTCTGAATTAGTTAATAATTTTTTAAAAAGTTACTATGTACTTTACTTTGTGTAAAACACCAAGCTCTGTAAAGCAAGAAAACTTAATTATCAAAATTACTTGAATGAGGGGTTCTCAGAGAGAAAGCAAATTGAGAGGGTCTAAGCCAGGGGTAGGCAACCTTTTTGTGAGTGCGTGCCAAAACCAGCAAAATCTCTGGCTCAAAATTCTTCTGCATGCCAACCCTAATTTTTTGAGAACATGTTACGCCTACTTGATATCTCTTAAGGTGTACGTATGTGAAGAACCTTGAAGAAATAATAAAATTCATTCGAGCGACAAAAACACAGTATATGATGATGAAAAATACATTTTCTATGGTCTTTAAGATAACTAGTTATGTAAAATTATTTATTTATCTAAGATGCACCTACACTGAATTTATCTGAAAAATAAAAAAGTCGATATTAAGAAAAAAATTGTAAATGGAAGATTATAAGATAGGGTTTCATGTGCCAGCAAAAGTTACTGGCGTGCCATGTTTGGCACACGTGCCAGGGGTTGCCCACCCCTGGTCTAAGCTCTCTAATCCACACTAGGCAGCTTCACTTTTATCTGTTTATACACTGTGTTTTCATACATGATTTTACTTTAAGAAAGGGTTCTACTCTTTAAAAAAAAAAATCTGAACATCATTATTCTGAAAATGCTTATTTAGCCTTGGCTGGTGTGGTTCAGTGGTACAGCATCGGTCTCAGGTTCGATTCCAGGTCAAGGGCATGTACCTGGGTTGTAGGTTCGTTCCCCTGCCCTGGTTGGGGCATGTGCAGGAAGCAACCAATTGATATCTCTCTCTCACATCAATATTACTTTCTCTTTCTCTCTCTCCTGCCCTCCCTCCTTTCCACTCTCTCTAAAAATCAATGGGAAAAATATCCTTGGGTGAGGATTAACAAAAAATAATAAAAATGCTTATTTTTATACAGTAGCAGCTTACCTGGGATTAACTTCAAGGTGGTAATTGCTTGCAATAGTGCTAATTTCAATTTTCTTTTTAGATGGAGTCTGTGGACAAAGAAAATAGATGTTTTTAACATTCATTTATTTGGCTAGCTCTCCTCTTTCCTGTATTTCACTGTTTCTTTTTATTATACTAGAGGCCCAGTGCATGAAATTCATGCATTGGGGGGGAGGGGGGAGGTGTCCTTCACCCTGCACCCTCTCGCAATCTGGGACCCCCCGGGGGATGTCCGACTGCCAGTTAAGGGCCCTTCAGCCCAGCAGTCAGATATCCCTCACAATCCGGGACCCTGGCTCCTAACTGCTTGCCTGCCTGCCTGATTGCCCTTAACTGCTTGCCTGCCTGCCTGACTGCCCCTAACCACTCTGCATGCCTGTCTGATTGCTCCTAACCGCCTCTGCCTTGGCCCCTGCCACCGCAGCTTTGTCTGGAATGACTTCCAGAAGGCTGTTCAGCTGTCCGGTCTAATTAGCATATTATGCTTTTACTATTATAAACAATTCATACTTACTAAAATAAAATTTTAGAGAACTACCACTGTTTTAACTTAATCCCATTCTTTTATTACTGTGAAGATAAACATTTATACAAATTATGTCATACACAACCTGTTTCTATTGAGGTTACATCTTTCCTCTATCTCCAGAAATCTCCAAACCATTTTGTTATCAGATCACCTTTGCACACAACCTATATATGTCCTTTTACAGCCTTTTCCATAACACAGAAAAAGAAATACACAAATACACACACACACACACACACACACAGTATCAGCATTTCTTGCTCAAAAATAAGAGGCAAACATATTTCACTGTTTTGCTTTTCCTACTTAACAATACAACTAGGCAATCCCTGTCAGACAAAGTGGAATAGGGTGTTAGAGTTGCATTTGAATCTATAACATGGGTGTCCCAAAAACAAGTTATATTGATGGGCATTTTATTTAATGCTTTTTGCCCTCTCAAACAATTCCACAATTAACATTCTTGCACATGTCTCCTATACTGCTTTCATTTTATGGCAATAGATTCCCAATAAAGAATTTGTTCGATTGACAGGGATATTTCCTATACTTCTATTATGTATGTGTGTTTATATGTGTAATCAGTTTCCCTTCCAAAAAAATTTTTAGCAATTCATTTTTCTCCTGGCAGGGAATATAATTCCCCAACTTTCCCCATCTTCAGTAAGTATTACATCATGACTTTAATTTTTGCCAGCTGATGAGTATATTTTATATATATACACACACATATATGTACCATAGTTAATACACATTATAAGATATGAAATATAAGAGAGTATATATATTATAGAATATATGTAATAGATTCACACTGCTTTTCCTTGACTACCACAAAGGTCAACATCTTTACATGTTTATTGGCTGTTTATATTTCTCTTCTGACTGTTTTTTATTCCATTTGCTACCGGGTTTTTGTCTTTTCCATTGTTGGTTTATAAAATCTTTTACCTAAAATGTTCCTTTCAAATATTTATAATCACTTGTTTTCCTATTGATTTTGTGTGTTATCTTGTCATACAAATTCCAAAAATTCCTATATTTCCAAATATGTATGTGTGTGTCTATGTTTTCTGTCAAAAGGTGTTCTTGATCCATAGGCTGTTTAAAAAATTTTATTGAAAAGTTTAGTGTTTCACTTTAACAATTAAATCTTTACTTCATCTGGAATTTATCTTTATACATTAGGTATCAGAAATTCAACTTTTTAGGTTAGCACGTTGTGCTTACTCACCCTTTTCCTACTGATCTGAAATAGATCCTCCATCTTATTTCTGGGCTATTAAGTTCCACTGACCTAATTCTCTGTACCCATGCCAATACAATACTGTTCTGATTATAGTAGCTTTAAAATATGATTTAATATCTGTTCATGTCAGTCCCACTTCCGAATTTTTTTAAGTTACGTTAGCCAGTCTCAAAAATCTATTATTTCATAGATACTTTAAGAATTTCATATAATTAAAAAACAATTGGATTTTAATTAATCTTCATTGAAAGTTACACTCTGACTGGAGGAAAACAGATACTTGTAAATATTAAGTCACATATCTGAGAGATACTGCATCTTTCTATTTGATCCGTTCTTGTTCTTTGTACTTTTATGTTAAAGTTTCTTCCTACAGATTCCACACTTTTCTTACTAAATTTTTCCCTGCATATACTGTAAGAATTTCCACCAGGATGTATGTCAAACTCAATGTATCTAAACACAAACTAATCGAAGAGTCAAGACAGTATTTTCAATAAACGTTGGGAAAATTAGACAGATACATGCAAAAAACAAGACTAAATACTAACTTACACATTACTCAAAAATAAACTCAAAATGAATAAAAGACTTAAATGTAAGTCATAAAACCATAAAGATCTTACACATTTCTCATAGCAATATGTTTGCAGATACATCTCTTAGGGCAAAGCAAACTAAGGAGAAAATAAACAAATGGGACTAAGTCAAAATAAAAAAGCTTCTTCACAGTGAACGAAACCATCAACAAAATGATAAGGGAGCCCAGTGTATAGGAGAACATATTTGGCAATGATATATCTGATAAACAGTTAATATGCAAAATATATAAGGAACTCATACAACTTAACAAGAGTAAGAAAAATGATCCAATTAAAAGGTGGGTAAAGGACCTAAATAGACACTTTTTCAAAGCGGACATTCAGATGGATAAGAGACATACGAAAAAATGCTCCAAGTCACTGATCATCAGAGAGATGAAAATTAGAACAATGAGATATCACCTCACACCAGTCAGAATAGCTACCATCAACAAATCAACAAATGACAAGTGCTAGCCAGGATGTGGAGAAAAGGGAGCACTAGTTTACTGTTGGTGGGAATGCAGACTGGTGCAGCAATTCTGGAAAACAGTATGGAGTTTCCTCAAAAAATTAAATATGAAAAAGAAAACTTAAATATGGAACTTCCATTTGACCCAGTGATCCACTTGTAGGAATATATCCTAAGAAAACCAAATGACCAAACAGAAAGAATGTATGCACCCCTAAGTTCATAGCAGAGCAATTTACAATAACTAATTTCTGGAAACAACCCAAGTGCACATCAGTAGATAAGTGGATAAAAAAGCTGTGGGCACTCTCCCTTCAGGAGCCTTTCCCCTCCTCCTTCCCTCCCCCTCCCCCCCAGGCAACAACAACAAAAAAAGCGGTGGTACATTTACACCATGGAATACTATGCAGCAGTAAAAAAGAACGATCTCTTACCCTTTGAGACAGCATGGGGAGACCTGGAGAGTATTATGCTAAGCAAAATAAGCCAGTCAGAGAAAGACAAGTATCACATGATCGCAATCATATATGTAAATCTAATGAACAAAATATACTGTTGAACAAAATAGATACAGAGACACAGAAGCATGGAAGAGGCTATGGAATCTCAGAGGGAAGGCGGGGGTGAGGGGGTGGTGAGGGCTAGGGGGGAGGTAGAAAGAGATGAACCAAAGAACTTGTATGTGTAACCCATGGACACAGACAATATGGTGGTGGAGGCCTGAGGAGAGGTTAGGCAATAAGGGGTCAATGGGAGAAAAAAGGGGACATATGTAATAGTTTCAACAATAAAGATTAAAAATTAAATAAACACAAGCTAATCAACATTAGCCTAAAATCTATCATCCTAAACATTCTAATAACACTACTTACCATCCAGTCATTCAGTACGCATTTTTTTCAATGTCCTATATGTATAAGACAGTATAGCAATGGCTATAAAGGATATGCAAATGAATATGCCATATTCCCTATATAATTTCAAAATAAATACTATTTTGTCAAAGTAAAAGATGCAAAAGCTATCCTATCTAGTAATAGACAAACATGGTAATTAACCGTACCTCCAACACACTTCCCATTGGCTAATCAGGGTGATATGCAAAGTAACTGCCAAACAAGATGGTGGCCGGCAGCCAGGCAGCTGAACCGAACAGGAGGCTTGCTTGCTCCAGTGATGGAGGAAGCCAAGGTTCCCCACCTGATGCTGCCCGCCTCTGAGCTGCACTCTAAGAAACCATGTTGTAATTATAGAAGCTAAACAAACCCCAGAAACCTTTCAGCCAGCTGGCCTCAGAGCTGGAGCTGCAACAGTGTTTCAATTATAGAAGCCAAACAAACCCAGATACCTGCTTTCAAC